ACTAGATCGCGAACAATGTTCAATCTCATACTTTCTAGCTAGTTTGGGAGCACAGGAAAGCTGATAATGTACACATATTGGAGATCAATGTTTTGATCAATTGACAGCTGTCAAAACAGGGTACCCGCTGACCAGTATTACTTGACCGTATCGCGGGCTCAGGTGTCGATCCAAGTTATCCGCTGACAAGTTACTAGTTTTCAACTGATCGCAGGCTCAAGTTTAATGTTTTTTTTTTAAATTCATATGAAATATGTTGTGTTTATGTGCCGCACAGTTAAAATTTTGATTTCAAACTGACCTCGGACGCGAAAATTCAGCCAGCTGAAGACAGTTGCTTTTGACTTTTCTCACAATGGTCACGCGTTGCTCACGGTCTACGTTCAGTTTTTATGCTCTGATTGGTCAAAATTTGACAGGTGAGTTCATGCAGAAAATTTATGCAGCATCTTGAATCTTGTTTGCTTTAAGAGCTGAAGCTGACAGAGTTTTGTGTCAACTTGTGATGTTTTTAACTGTCTTTTTCAACTGGGTGTACAAATTTTTTTTTCTTTATTGACAACAAATCAACAACATTAATACACAGCAGAAAGTAAAAGAACAAAGAAGTAAATACATATGTAAGTAAGTAACAAAACAAATTACAATAAAAATGAAAAGTATTTGAAAAAAAAAAACCTGTCAGTTGCCACACATATTTAATATTGTTTGCCACAATTTTCAATAATACTGGGTGTCCAAAATGAAATTCAGCTGCTATCCGGAGTCTTCTGTTATTCATGGCTAGTTTGTTTATTAGGTTTTTGATTGAGAAATACGTCGCTTGTCAAAGTCGGCAATCCGATTTCGGATGGCATCGTTTTCGTTAATTTTCACCTTACTTGATGCGTAAGAGGGTTGCAAAGTCTGAAGCGATACTGGCCTTACTTGATACCTTTCAGGAGCTGCATCTCGAATGGTAAGCCAGAGTAATTATTGTATTTGATGTTTGTTTTTTGTATCTAATTTAATGAAGTCGAGTGTAGTTTATGCGAGTATTTAGTTAATGCACGTTTGTAAGATTATAGACAATGATCTGACCGAGTTTCAGGTTTGATGTAAGCTTACAAAACTTTAAAAAGCCTTTAGAGAGTTTCTCACTACAAATAGAAAGAAGACGTTCCAAAGAATATTTAGTTATAATTCTGGCTGTAGAAGAAAGCTTTGAGCGATTTTCTTGCCTCGAGTTCGTCTTTGAAAAAAGCAAACACCGGCAAGCCGGCTTAAAAACAGAAAATTAAGCTTTAGGCTTGAAGACTCAGGATTTTTAGAGACACTTTAATACTTGTCTTCCTGAATGAAAATTGGTGTCTCTGTCTATGTTTCACCGAATTATATCTCTTTTATTGATTGTTAGTAGTCTCTCTTGTAATTTTAATCGCTGTGTCGATTGTTTTTAGTCGTTCAGTGAACATCGCTTGCAGGAGGACTCAAAATGCCGCGCGTTAAACCATTTTAAAATAAAAAATAAACATAATAAATTCTTTATTATGTTGGAGGGTAACTCTGTTAATGTTCATTCAAACTCTCGCCACAGCTCGCACTACAAAAGTGAGAACTGGATGGCCGTACAGGTGATTTTGGAAATTTTTTTAACGGTTTAGCTAAAATCCCACGCGTACTTAAATATTGAATGAGTGCAATTTGTATTGCAAAATTGTGAAATACTGCTTTCTGTCCAAGGTCTGTATGATAAAAACAGTGCCTCATAGTACCGTTTCACCTCAGATGTGATGAATAAATGGTGTAAAAGGTTGGTTTACCCAGATTTGTTGGCAAGATTTTGCAAAGTAAACTTGTCGAACGCAAAAAATTTGGCCTCATTTTTTTTCCAGGCCTAATTAATCTACGGTGAAAAAGAGCCATTATGGCTCTTAAATGTGATCGAAGACGATTACCAGTTTTTGGGTGTACATATGAGGCTATCAACTCGATATAAGATTTGGTTCACTCTTTTGCTGTTTGCAAATTATTTTAATTCTCTAAAATCACTTAGCCTTTCCCTGAAAAGTCACATAAATGTGCTCTAAAATTAACTGAATTGTGGAATACAAGTTTATTGTTTGATTTAAATTATAAATTTATTAATGGGAGCCTCGCTTTTAGCCCTGGCTAAATCTATATATTATATTGATTCCAGGCAAAACATCTGGTTCGAGGGAAAAGATATTACTCAAATCCTATCATTGTGACCGGGCTTGGTGAATTACTGGATACTTGCTCCAAAAGAATTAACTCCTGGAAAAAGGGCTATATGAAAGGCCAACCTGATTTAATGATAATGAATAACCATCTAGAGTGTAATAACAGCTTTTGTACTGAATTTTGTACCAACGAATAGTTGCCAAGTGAGTGAAGCCCAAAGAGAGATGAAACATAAGTACCGAGCAAATGGATACAAATTTCTAGTGAGCAAAGATTATGATATAATCAGAAATATAAATGAATATTTGGAGGACCTTAGAATACCATATAAATATTGTACCCATAAAGGGTTTTTTACACAGGAAACATATAAAAGTCACCTCAAAGTGATCCACCGCATTGAAAACTAATATAACATATATACACAGACCGCTAGGTAAAGCTTAGCTTTTATTGCCTGCAGTTTTAAATACGCAGAAATGCTAACTGCGCCTTAAAATGGTCTTTCATATTGCCCCCTTTTATATACATTTATATTGCCTCCGGGGTTGTGTAAATACTTAATTTCTACCTATTATATCTATATTATTGATCAATTTGTCCAATTACTATCTAAAACTATTAAAGTCCCACGCTCGCCCGTATCATAAGGAACCCCCCCAAAAGCACTCCCATATGGCCTGTTTCTATATCCCGCGTACCCTAATTATACTCCTATTTTTCTTCCGAAAGACCAATATATATCAATATATAGCTCTTCTTATGTCCCCAACGCTATTAGCCTCATATAATGTATACTCCGGGTGTACTCTAAACCCATCATTATCTTCCTTTGCGTACCTTGGCAGACGATATTCAAGCCCCAAATACTCTTCCTCCTGGTTAATTTCCACTATTTGCACCCATTCTCCGGGATCATAATTAGGTGGATCAATATATGGCACGCTATATTAGCCACCTCTGCAACACCTTCATAAAACGAAGGCGGTTCATCTGGAGGATTTAAGAGTGGTTGTCAGAGAAAACCGGGCAAAATGTTAAAAATGTCAACGGAAGGGGGTCAACAGAATAAGTTCATACTAACATCATAGATAGGTCTGGTGGAGTAATGAACAAATATACCAAACATAGGTTCTTCACTGCTCTTGTATTAGAGATACGAGCATCACTTTATTCGAACCCTCGGACGCCATTTTTATAAGCAAATTTTCACCATTTTCTGAAACTCACAGAACACCCAAAATTTAACAAGCGAAGTTTATTTTTTGTATGCGATACAACACATCACAGAACTACTTTCGAAAACCATAAGATTTGTGAAGTAGCCACGGACAAGACTAAAATTTTCTTATTTTATTTGACCTAAACTCATTGTCTGCAAACGAGCAAAAAATGGAGCATTTTTGAATTGATCTACAGCGCACAACTAAAACGACAGAACAACTCTGATAGCCAAATTGCAGTCTACTATCATCCATGTAACCAAAACATTAATAATCATTTTGGGCCATTGAAACAGGAAGAAACTAGAAAACTCACATTTTTTATAGTTTCCAAGCTTTTTCTTGCAAACAGGCCGATCCCTTCGTGTTTGTTTTAAGTCCTCTTCGTGAATTTTCTTTTATATTTCGCTGTAAAGTATGTTCAGCAGGTGGAGGACATATCAAAAAGCTCGAAATACTGCCTAGGTTACATTTTGAAAGGGCAAAAAGTGCTGAACGATAGTATAGGATGAGACTAGAAAATAACAAAGCGACGCCATCTTGAAAATTCAGCACTCAGGAGGGACTGGCACTAGTAGCTGCCTTGTGAACAAGTGATAACTTACCAAACAGATAAAAAACAAAAACAAACAAACCGGCTTATCAGCGACCTATTACAGTCCTTTTTCTTCTTCAATTACTATTTTTAGTTAAATTTAGCTTGTTTTGTGTTGTCGTTTTTTTTTTGGCGGAGTGATGGGGTGTGGTGAACAGGTGACCAATTGGCATTACTTTATTTAGTTCATTTGCTCTTCATTCACTTCATTTTGAGTTTATCTCATATAAGTCCTAGCGTTTCTTTGGACTCTTTATTATATCATCTATTTTTGCGTCAGTCTTCAATCACCGTCCATGTCCAGAGGTACAGTCATCTCCCGTTCATGATTTTATTTTTGCACAGTTTCATAGTCCGGAAGGCTTCGCCCGAAGGGTACTTCTTTCAAGCATCAGGTGTAGCGAGGAAATCACAAGTTGAAGTATGTGAAAGGAGAGGAAAATCTTTCATTAAGCGTTTTAAAGAGCCTATTATTAAAATGCTTCGAAGAAACACGCCTTATGGCGATATCTTTTACATGTAAAGGTTACTCGGAAATGACCGGAATACCTCCTTTCTTACCGATTTATTCTCACGAAGCAGATATATGAAAAGGGTACAACTTTTTAATGGAAGATACACGAAAGGGGTACCTTTTGTCAAAAATAGTATATTTAAGGGTAAGGGACTGGACCTCGGGGCGAAGCCCCTCCGAACAAAGCTTTATTGAGTACCCTCCCACCTCCTCTCCCCCCCCCCCCCCACTCCTTCTCCCTAGAGCTTTCCACAAGTTGCTCGCCAGGTTTTTGGCAACTGGTAGCATTTCGAGCAACTGTTTTCGTTTCAAGAAACTTTTTGCATAAATTCTGAGCAATTTCTCGTACTAGTTTTCTTCCAAGCAGCTTTTAGTGCATAAATTAGCCTTGCTTCCATGTTGCACAGTGTTTTAGTAGACAATTTATGAATTTGCTATGAAAAAGGAGCCAGATCCTCACCCCTTGGGGGCAGATGATGGGCGCAAGGTGCAGCTTTGTGGAAAAAACTTCAAGAAAAAAAACAAAGAACTGGAGATAAAAATAGACACTGAAGAGGAGGAAATCTACTTTGAATGCCCACAACCACAGTACTTGGAAGCGACTATGAAATTCCACAAACAGTATTCGGGCATGGTTGAAAAAAAATTGAGCCTGTCAAAAAATATTTTGGAAATTTTGTCTTTAGATGAAGGGCTGGAGAAAGTCAAATATGAATTAGAGAAAAACAATGTGGAGGCTGTTTTCGTGATCGATAGCGAGGCTTGGATCATAGGAACGTCAGTTGCGCATGCAGACAAGGCTGCCAGTCTTGTAGGTAAGATGACTTCGGAAGTGAAAGTCCGAGTGGATGCCAACAGTCAGCATCTTTTAAAAACCACAGAATGGCGCGAACTGTGTGAGCAACTCAACACCATCTCAACTGTCCGGGTGTATCGGAACAACTGGAATGACACCTACGTATCCGGGTTCAAAGAAGATGTACATGAAGCAATGAAAACGCTAACTACGTATCTAGATGATTACTGTATCCGAGAAGAGCAAATGAAATGTTCTTCTAAGTTAGTCCGAAAATATCTCTCTGAGCTTCGTCAAGATGACTTGTCTTCAATTGAAGTTCAACTAAAGGATTTTGAGGTCAAGATTCAAACAGGAAGAGGAGATGAGGAATTTGTCATTGGGGGAAACAAAGAGGGGATAAAACGAGCGAAAAGAAAGCTGCAAGACCTCGCAGATAGTACCGAATGTGAGATTTTCGACGTGAAACAGCCAGGACTTAAGAAACGTTTTGCCAGTGGAAACGGCGAGACCCTTGTATCAACTGTGGCAAAAGATCACGCATGTGTTATCCAGGTCCAGAAACAATTTGATGTGCAGACTCCTGTCAAAAAATCTGATTCATCAAAAAATGATAGTGAGGAAGAGGATATGGCGGCTGCAGCCAGCAGCGCTGTTCCTTCCACTTTTGTCATGGGATGTGGGCACAAAATTTCGTGGAAATCAGGAAACATCGTAGCGCAGCAGGTCCGTTCGGTGCCCTAAATACTAGTATAAACTATAGATTATTTCCGTGGGCTGTTTGAATTAAAAAAGGATTGAATTGACCTTGGCTGTAAAATAAATAACTTCTCTTCTCAGTATTTTCACGTTGAAAGCTTTGTTCTGCTGAAAACGTAAATGGGTTTTCAGATTGTTGCGAAGGAGTAATTAGTTATCCGTATTTAAGAATAGCCCCCTCATCGTACATTATTTCATTCCCTGTCAGTATAAAACCGACTACCCATTTATGATCCATCATAGTCTTCATAGACTAAAGCAAGCCATTTATCAACATTTTACACGTAACCATACTACCCGAAAAAAGGAGTGGGTTTTCTTAAATTATAATACGTTATGTGTGGGGTTTGCCGTTGAAGCCTGGAGTCCTTAGTCTTTTTCACTCGATCAGTATCTGTAACTTTGCTGTCCTACTCTTTTTCAAGGATCCAAAATGCCCAACCTGTCCCAGACTTACTATATGAACCAGGAACGCCTGATCGCTTACACGGCTCATCAATTTTCCATTAATGATATCCTATTCTAGGGCAAAATTCCCTGAGTTTTGTAGTAAGGCTATCCCAGACTAATTTGCATGAAATTACAATTGCACCCTAGCTTCCGAGCGACACAAATCTATTTTCCCAAATATGGCAGTAACGTTTGTTGTATTGTTTTTAGCTAAAATATCTGTCTGTGTGACGTCCAGTTATAACTGGCCATCGCCAATCGCAACAGATACAGTCGATTCCCGCGAATTCGAACCTTTAATGGGAATAGAAAAAGGTTCGAGTTATCAGGAGTTCGAGTTATCGAGGGTAAAATTATATAGAAAATGATCTGAAGGGAAAGAAAATTGCTTCGAGTTAGCTGCAAGTTGGAGTTATGGAGGGTTCGAGTTACCGGGAGTGGACTGTAGAGGCAATCCAGTGTACCTAATTAAACGTGCATGCTTACGTCGCTGTTATTGCTAGTATGGTACTGCAAGGCTAAAGTAAAGACAGATGCCCAACCTTGAATGATATCGCGGAGCTTTTTAGCCTTTATGAACTCTCTTTTTTGTTTGACTTTAATTTCAGGCCGACATGCTGGTCAGTTCACAAGGTGCATGCTCCCAGGCGATCGTCAATGTGGGTGGGCAGGTAATGAGGCAAAACTTGGTAACACCAAACACGGGTGACATCGCAGTTACTCCTGGATATAACCAGGCCTGTAATCACGTAATCCATACGAACTGTTCCAAGTGGCATGGTGGAACGGGGGAGCAGGTAAGGGATAATTGGAACCCTAACTTATTCTAATGAGCATTATAAGGCATTCAGATTCAGATTGTTTATCCGTACAAAACCAATAATTGTCAATCGTGCAGTCATGGTTCATGTTTTATTTAAGGTATTACGAGGCATTATCCAAATGTGTCTTCAGAAGGCGGATGAACTCGGAGGACCATCAATAGTCTTTCCAGTCATAGGCACTGGGAAGCTCTACTTTCCTCAAGACATAGCTTCCAAGATCATGTTGGAAGAAACCATCAACTTTTGTCAAAATAATCCGTCATCTGTCGTAAAAGATATTCGATTTGCCGTGTTTCAGCAAGATCAGGCTTTAACCGCTGCATTTGCGCAAGAGTTTGATAAATTGCAATCCAAGTACAGAATTCGTCCCGGATACACTATGGGTGGTTTTTTAAGGAATCTACGGTCCAAATTAGGAAGAGTCCATCAGAGCCCAGCAAGGCCAGCCGTCGGTGTTAGTGTGGAAGTTTTGCAAGGAAATCTGTGCCAGGAGGCAACAGATGTCGTTGTTAACCTCAACAGCAAAGATATGAATATGGATAGCGCCGGAGCATTGAGCAAGGCGGTGAAAAAGGCGGCTGGTCGAGTTGTTCAAGACGAGTGCTATCAACTGGGACATCAAACAGGTGGATCAGTGGTAGTTACCAGGGGTGGAAATCTTACAGCCCGTAATATCATCCACTTGATACCAGATACTGCCGACAAAAATCACTTGCAACAATGCTTGGAAAAGTGTCTTGGTTTTCAGTCCATCTCATTTCCAGCGGTAGGAACGGGATCTTTTCACATGTCAGGGGCTGATTCAGCCAGCCTAATATTTCAAGCTCTCAGTAATTTTAGTGTTCGTTTCAGCGTCATCAAAAAAGTTAGAACCGTGGTGTTCCAAGCGCCTATGCTTCAGGCATTCCAACGAGAACAGCAGTGTCATCCGCTGTATTCTATTCAGGGCCATGTCTTTAAACCTATGGCCAGGCAGGGCCTAGCCTATCCACGTGCTAGTAGGCAGAGAGGCGTGAATATTAAAGTAGTAAGTGGTGATTTTACAAAAGAGAACACAGACGCCATTATGAACATTAACAGCACTGACATGAACATGAGCAACGCTGGTGATCTAAGCAAAGCTATCTTAGCAGCTGGTGGTATGCAGATCCAACAAGAATGCAGTCAATATAGCAATCAACCTGCTGGGACAGCGGTGATGACTGGTAGTGGAAATTTAGCAGTACGCCATATAATCCATATTATTCCAGGTATTGGCTGAGTTTTAGTTATTTGATGTTGTTACGCAGGAAATTCGGCCTCCAATAGACCATGCAACGTATTGTCGACCCTTAAAAATGATAAAATCTACAAAAGAAAAAGACGATTACGGAATTTTTCTAATTAACCACTGTCACATTACCCAAATACACCTCAATGCGAAAGTGGCCAATTATAGTGTAGCGATATTCTCTCAGACTCCTCACGGGCAATGTAACCGTTACAAAAGAAGTTGCCCGTGGAGGAGGTTATAGTCAGGGATAGTAGGGGGATCGAAATACTCGAGTGCGCTTGAAAATTGGGCCCCACGAGAAAGTTGACACAGTACGGGAAGACAGGACTGATAGAAACCGTTGAGCTACTTGTAATCTCGTTTACTCCTATCGCCAATTGTAGTCCAACGATGAAACATTCCAAACCTTCAGTTTTCTTGCCGCTCTTGAGTGTAAAATTCAAGAACATTATGTCACTTTTTTGTTCATTATTAAATGTCAAACTTATTTTCATTTTTGACTTGCAGCCTCCCAAGATAAACAGCATCTTCAGACAAGTTTGGAAGCTGGCCTTCGTCTAGCAGATCAAAACAAGCTTCAAACAATATCAATTCGATGTGTAGGCACTGGTGGATTTGGTCTGACGGCAGCGGACTCTGCTCAGGTAACATTCCAAGCTCTCAGCTCCTTAAGAGGAAGTTGTCAAAACCTTCGCAACGTGCGTGTCGTTGTCTTTCAAGCTCAAATGGTTCAGGAATTTTGTTGGCGCAACAGAGACAGGCAATGCAGGATATGGATGAACAAGAGAGTGACTCCACTGCAGATGATGAAGTTGCTGAGAGGCCCAGAATTGCTAATCAAAGAAAAAATACCGCAACTAATTCGAGTTCAACAAGTGACCATTCTGTGAAAATCTTAGTGGTTGGGAAGGATAGAGGAAGCGTCGGTAAAGCAGTAGGCGCTTTGAAGAAACGTTTCCCCGAAGCTTGCACTACTCAAAAAGTCGAAAATGAAACCGTCAGCAAACTGTCACCAAAGCAAATTAACAATCTCAGAAGGAAAGCCAAAGAACTTGACGTCAAACTCGAAATTGAGGGTGATGTTGATCGCATTGTGGTGAAGGGTGGCCCAGTTGAAGTGCCTGTCATGGTCGGGGAGATTTGGCAGGAGATTAACGAGAGAAATAAGAAGATACAGGAGGAGGAGCAAGCAATGATGCTTTCAAAGAGCGTAGAATGGAGTTATGAAATACAAGGCGGGAAAATGGTGTTTAGCCAGAAGGCAAAAGGAAAGCTTGAGATGGCACACATCAAAGAACAACCAACAGTACAAATATCTCTGCTAGGTGATAAATTTAACATTGATTTGAAAAATAAAACGGGCCGCGGACAGCAGAATGGTAAAACAATTACAGTAATCAGAAAGGTCAAGGGAGCTGAAGAAGGTTAGCACATTCAAACACGGGAACATATTAAATAAGCTATACAATACACTGCTTAAGTAGGGAACTGATACAATCATTTCTGTATTTGATGCCCGACGATAGAAAATTCACCAAAGTCACTAGGACGAAGATACCAGATCGCACCTAATCTTTTTAAGGATATCCGCAAAACACAGGGTGGCATCTGGTTAGGAGGAAGCCACTTACCAAATCTTTGAAAGGCCTTATTTGCCCATGAACAGAGGTTAATCCTTACAGCATAGAATGAATTGAAGCGAGACCGTTTTCCACTGCAGAGATCTGGGGCCGGTGGCTGATATATTCCTTCAACGCTTCTCAATGTCAGCCAAAATCCCCACTGACGTCCCTGATTTTCACGGACGTCCATCACGGGGTATCCAGGCGAACTCCCATGGGCCTCAACCGTTATCCTTTTGGCTATCTAAATGTAAAATCAAGAGTTCTAGTAGTCTTTTTTTTTATAATACCACTTATAATAAATAAAACAGACAAGGTGGGGTATTCCTACTGTGAAATTTTCCATCTCATAGCATCCTTAGATTCTCTTCGACGTACGGCCAATTGAAAACTCCCTAAACCAGTAATGTTACTTTCCCAAAGCAAAATAATATTAAGAGCACTGATTCTTTGTCCTAAAGGAACGTCTTTTCCGAGCACGTGAGCTCCAATGCCACGCCCTGATATGGAAGTACATATTGTGACTCTCGCACCGGTCTCCTCTGAGTATCAAAGTGTCCTGAGCAAATTTCAAGCAACCGCTAGGGGAATGCATATCCAGAAAATTGAGCGAATTCAAAATCCTCATCTTTACAAGCAGTACGTGCTACGAAAGCAGAAGATGGATAAAGACAATGGAGGAAACAATGAACGACAGCTGTTTCATGGAACCGACGCTAGAAATATAAGTGCTACAAACACACAGGGATTCAACAGGAGCTTTTGTGGGGCACATGGTAAGTTACAACCGCTGAAAAGCATTGTGTACTCGTATATTATCATGAGTCAGACTAAGTATAGCAGTACCACTGTATGTTTACATACACATGCACTATTCAGAACTGACTCGACGGGTACAATTATAGGCACTTTTAAAGTACCCTTAAACGATATGATTTAAGACATGTATTCCCAAGGAGAGATAGGCTAGTTATGTATTCTACAACTTGAAGTAGCATTTTGAGTGTTTGTAGGGTACTTAGTTGTTGTAGACGTCGTCATAACGCAATCGAATTAGACACTTTCAAGTAGAGGTTTAATTTGTGACTGTTCGAACAAAGGAATGCCGTGACTTCTAGAACTATCTCATTAATCGCTGTTTTGTTTGTTTTTTTTTTCTAGGAACTAAATATGGACGCGGTGTGTATTTTGTCAGAGATGCTTCTTACTCAGCTGGATATGCAGGAAGTGGGATTGGGGGCCGCTTTATGTACCTTTCCCGGGTCCTGGTTGGGAAATATTGTGCAGGCAACTCTAGTATGATCGTTCCACCACCAAAGGACCGTTACAGACCAGAGATTTTGTACGAGTCAGTGGTTGATAACCCAGCAAATCCGTCCATCTTCGTTGTTTTCTACGATACTCAATGTTATCCTGAATATCTCATAACCTTTTAATCGTTTTGCTTTACTTCAGCAGATAAAAACGAACTTAAAGATAATCTAGAGTGTATAGCTCTTTCTTTATTTACTTAAGAAATCACTGTTTATAGAATTTAATTAATTACAATTTTAATGACAACAGCAAGGTTGTAAGAAGAAGTTCAGTGTTAGCCATCTCTAAAGCCATGTAGATATGTGGTAAGAGTGTAGTTTTAGCGGTTTTCATCGTCAAAGAAAACTGGTTCATGCTTAGGCTTAGGGGCTTAGGGTGTGTATATGGAGTTTAATAGCTGATGCACAAAGGAAGTTTGGAAAGCACGAAAGAAGCGTAGGTATTACGAGTTGCTAATTGGTTATTACGCCTCGAGCAAATGTAACTTCTTGATTACTCTCCTCTCAACATGCAGAGTTGCCTACTTAATCAGGTTCTGATATATAAATTTCCAAAATGCGCCGGCTCTCAGTCTGAGCTAGTTCGTTTAACCAATTTTGTTCTTCGTTCATGTTTGATTGCAAAGAAGTTTTAATCTTTAAAATGTCAGAAAGTTCTACACTGTTTTCTTTTTTATCGAAATACTTTGTGGAAATCAAGCGACGCAAATCCAGGTTGTATTAGACACAACTGAGTATGTTATCTCATGATATAGTCATACGGCCGTGCGTACATTGTAGTTCTAGATCAGAGTTATTGTGGTTCAATACAGACTTACTTGCCCTATGTATTACATGTATTTTTAGTACAGGGGCTAGCGGGGCTAAAGGCAGAATATGTAACTGAAACATAAAATAGCAATCAGAGGGAGCTCGAACACTTTTCAGCAAATTCATGCCATTCGCAATAAAATCGAAATCATTTACCTCACTACATTTTTATGTCATCCTTTTGTCGCTTTTGAGGGAATTTGCATCAAAGCAAAGACAGTTCTCTGTTCCATTTCAACGTTGTACTTTGAAATTGTTCGAAGAGACCGTCTTTCAGAACGACCAAAGAAAGACACAGATACCTCAGACACACAGGTTAAATTAGTTGTTTTGATTTTAAATATCTCTGGAATGACTAACAATAAAGCGCCTGGGAACCTTGTGTAACAGAAGAGGTAAATCAGTGGGCTACTTATTTACAAACATGGCCGAAGAGTTGATTGACTCTCAAATCTTTCCGGCAACGCTGCCTTCGTGCATCAATAACACTTTACTATTTGCAATTTATAAGGGGCTATCTGAGCTTAAGAGCCAATGTCGGAAAATATCGAGAATCTCAAATCAGTTCTAAAAATTCGAATTTTGGCTAATACCACCCAAACAACCCTTTAGGTACACTATTTCAAGAAACAAGACGCTACGGAGAGTACACTTCGGCGTCGTGGTTGTGGAACTAACTAATTGTAAATGCGGAGGAATAGTAAGAAATCAAATATGGTAAGAGTAAGGTGTTAATTTGTGAAATTTTGGGATTTGTCAGGATATTCTGAAAAGAGCAACATCCAAGAGGCCTACTTGCCAAAAACCAGCATTTCGGGACAAATTGTCTCAGAGATATTAGCCCAGTTATCCTCTGATGACTCCATACAAATTCTTCTAAAAAAACAATTCTCTATTTTTCTTAGTCACATCAGGCTTCAAAAACAGCATAGCAGTCTCATGTACTGATTAAAGATATGTAAGGCATGGGTAAGGAGTCAATAAGGTTGAGCATGGAATTGGCTAAAACTCAAAGTCACGAGTTCGAATGTTTTGAGGATAATTATTCACTGACTATCAGCACGCAGGGATGTCGGATTAAGACAAGGAAGTTTAACACCAAAGGAACATAGCCTTTACAGAGCTTTAAAACACAACTCCACCAACACAAACTTGACTTGAACTTTGAGTAAAACTAAACAGCGTCTACCAATAATAACAAACTCTCACTTGAACTTCAGATGTCTTACGGCTTCCGCGAACTTGTAAACACAGAACCTGAAAATCAACACAGCAGTCCAGTTCGTGGGAAAAAGCTTAGATCGTCAAAATAACACGCTTGGAACTTGTATACCGTTTGACATAAGGTTCTAGAAAATACTAAACAGGCGAATAGTAGTAGCTTTTCGAAATATTTTATGATTTCAGTAACTGATGCAAATCTGCTGACTCATGCTGAAATGTAAACATGCCCTAATTAATTATTCATGAATAATCCAAAAACGTAGAGAACGTTCGAGAAAGTCACGCAACGCATGAACGCAATTTTACTACGTAACACTCAACAAAGACAAAATGTCTTTGTGCGGCATTTTGTAACTTTAAATTCATCATAAAACAGTTCGAAAGGAGGGCTCACTCGTGAAATGTTTCTCAACACTCGAAGAGAAATTTCGTGTCTCTGCGTGGCCACGAAAATGATCCTCTATTTATTCCTCGAGTAATTAAAGACTAAACTCGAAGTGATCTCAAGATATCATGAAGTAGTCCGGTCTCATTTCGTGAAATAGTTGAAACAAGCCGAAAAGTCACGAACTTGCACCCCCAATCTTGTCCCGAAACTAATGCATCATTTCATAACTATTTTTCATATTCCAAACTACCTTGGGTCGCAGTAGCGCAATCGGCTAATCCCTCAACTTAGAGTCTCTTCTGATCTGACGGGTCACTCAGGTGAGTCGGTTTAAACCCCGGGAAAGCTAAAATAATAATTCTTTCTTCCTCGAAAAAGTTAAAGAATAAATCAAAGAAATCGAAGTGATCTCCAGATATCTCGAACTAATTCGGCTCTCACTTCGTCAAATAGCCGAATAGAACCGAAAACCTACAGACTTTGCTTGCCCAATCTTGTCAAAAAATGGCAACTTTGATACATTCCTGAGCGTCGCGAATCCCTTACTTCGCGCTCCGCCGAAGTAATGATATTAGGGAGTTTAAGATACGGAGACTACGGATTACGAACTACGGCTGGACGAGCGTTGTCCTTTGTTTGTAGCACTGGGTTGAGTCGTGCAAATATAGAACTTAAGATTGCACTACAGACAGTAGACTACGAGGGAAGAGGCGGAGAGGGAAACAACACGCAAAAATTTTCTTGTTTTCATCAAAGTTCACAAAAATGAAAGTCAGTTTTGCATGTGATCTTATCTTTAGAACAATGAACAAATTCTTCCGTACTTGAAGGAAGCAATTACGTCGGGTGAAAGTTTTGGTTACACAGGTTTTATTTTTTTTGGCCCATGAAATACTTATGTCGAATATTAAAGAAATAGACAGAAATAGTAATGGCTCATTTATTAGATTTAGAAGATGGACTTCTCCGACTACTGATCTGATGTAGTTTGAAGTACTGAAATGCCGAGTTTTGATTGTCTCGAAGATGTTTACATCATTTTCATTTGGGGAATGCGATACAAAAACTCGCATAAACAAAGCTCACACAAGTAGAAAGACACACTAATCAGTTCGAACAAACATTGAAACTTTTCAAGTGCGAAGAGAAAGTAAATTACCTGCATGATTTCTCTTGTCTTCGGCCGTCAATCTGAATTCTGCGTACAAACAGCTAAGCTTATTTAAATATGAGCTTAGCTACATAAAAATGTAGCCACAACGGTGGATTAAAAGAGTAAATCTGAGCAGAAATTAGACACAACTTACATATTTCGCTTCCCTCTCACTTAAGGCAGGTGAATTGAAAACTCTTTCACGAAAAGACGAGATTCTTGAATTACCGATACGGCAAAATGCGAGCAAAATGTTCTCCGTAGTCCCGACTACGCGAAACAGCTCAACAACTCACCGAAGCCGCAGGACTAACGGGAAAAATGAACAGTCACGTGGTTTTAATCATGCGCAGTAGCATGTTTAACCGTAGTCCTTGTCCGTAGTCGCCGTATCTTAAACTCCCTATAAAGAAATCCTCAAGCGCTTTACATTTTGAGAAATTTGGAAAAGTTCAAAAATTCGATAAAAAGACATTTTTTAATTCGCGACATTGCTGCAAATTTCAACAATTTTCAAGAAAGCAGTACAAGCGCGCAAAAGCTCCTATTGACTTGATGTTGCACATGCATTTACCAGTTACCCAAAGCTTTAAGACTCCATAAAAATGTCTCGCAAAATAACTTTTGTAATATAGTTTTGGGCTTTTATTGTTTGCACCTTGATTGTGTGCTGTTTTGGCGGTCGAAATAACGCCCAACTTTAACCGCAAAAAGTCGATTCCGGTATGTCTCAAATTTAAAATACGATTATACTATATGAAAGAACTGTGATTCTTTTAACTACACCTGAAGTTTCAGCTCTGCGAATTTAAGCGCTTGCGAAAAATAAAATCTTAAATATAGCCCGTCGGGTCACCGCAAGCGACAAGGACGTGAAATATAAGCAAAGCAGAAACCGTGTCACCAAAGGAGAAAATCACATCAAAGTTATTTCTAGCCCACCAAAGCGCAAGGAAATGATGGAAATTTCAGTATCTAAATAGCTATTGCTTTCTGAAAATTTAAAAAGGCGAAATTGTCTGTCGAAAAATATAAAAAGAAAAAAAAATCCTGAAAAACGAGCAACTGAGAATCGCATCGGGTGCCATTTAATTCTGAACTCGGAAGTAAAAATGCTTCCCGCTGGTCATGTCCAAAAGGCTTCAAGAACTGTTTTCGAAATGCCTTAATAAACTATAGACAAACTATGCCAGATAATAGATTTACTTTAGTAGAAATGAACATAACATTAACAAGAAGTCGGAATCATGATTACAAATGACACTCCTAAAAAATGAGTTTAACGCACGTCCTGGATTTTTACAGTTACCTTTCAGTGTCCATTGTTTTTTTCTCGTGACACAAGGTTCTGCATCTCACCTTCATAACATGACTTAAAAACTAGCAAATCACTGAAATTTCAAAATTCCGCTGATTTGTAAAAACGTTGCGGCTTGCAAAAGTTTGGTTCCTAAAAGAGACGTGTAACTTGGTGTCATGTTACGTGTATGGTAATTTGAATAAATTACCCTGGAGCACATTCACTTAATCGTCCACAGGGTACACGTGCACGTGACATACTATCACCTTTAGCTCTGAAGGCGAGTGGAAAAAAATGTTGTGCAGTTTTTTTACCCTTCTTGATGGCAATGTTTGCATTCGGTGTTAGTGGGGAATATCCTTGTCAATCCGAATTTATCCCTCCTTTTAAAATGCCAAGGAGGCGTCTGAATGCCCTGTAGCTAAATGGCATAACCGCATCAATGAAGATCCAGCGTAGGACAAATAAAAAAGTAACTTCTATTATCTCGCGCTGGTAAATGACAATTGGTTTAATTTTTACTTTGTTTTTAGTTTCATTGAACAAGAAAATCGCTAGTGTTGAACAGGGATTGGAAATAGGTGGTTGTACCTTAAGAAAAACGAGGGCGGGGCTCGGCACGTGGTTTAGCCCACCCGCACTCGGGCCAGTGCGCTGAAGAAGATATACAGTGAAACCTGTATTAAGCGGACACCGTATTAAGCGGACACCCTCTATTAAGCGGACAGTAGCCAAGGTCCCCAAATTTATTTCACTTATTTACTTTAAATGGAACCTTTATTAAGCGGACACCTATATTAAGCGGACGCGGACACCTAAAAAGTACCTGAAATGGTCAAATCTATTGTTGCCAACCTGTATTAAACGGACACTTGTAATTAAATTCCACCACCCAACGTGCCAGACCCCGGAAATGCTAAAGATTGCCTCGAATTGCCACCCACAAATTTTTCGATTTTTACATTAAAAAATGTGACTTGATTACTTTCACAGTACAGTATTGTTTTCTATTTCGTTTTGGTTGTATGACTTGTATGGAGCTTGTTTCACTCATCTGATTTCTTCAAATTTGAGTTGCAATCTATGTTTATGGTACTACAATCAATTGGTCCACTTTGATAAAGAAATTAATGCAAACGTATATCATCATAGTCTCTCGGGGAGTATTCTGAACGTTTCCACTGTTCATTTGAATGGCATTTGACACCTCATATAACGTTATCTATCGAAACCTGTATTAAGCGGACACTACAGCACTCCCCGAGGGTGTCCGCTTAATACAGGTTTCAGTGTATAATAAACACCCGCACTGACCCGAGGCGTCTTTTGACTTTATGGGTCCAAGCGGGGCCGTTTAATAGATATGAGACGTTTAAAATGGAGAGGTGCTTATTGTTATAACTGTACCACTCAACAAAACTTATTTTTAAACTCTTGATATTTTTTCCACTTCATCTAGGCCGTCTAGAGATCCATATCGCTCTTCTCAAATCCAAAACCGTCGATGTCAGAGTCCTCCCTCAGGTTATTGTGTTTCCATCCTTAGTATATTAAAAGGGTGAAAGTAAAAACACTCAAACCCCCAGTTCATCCCGATCAAGCAAGAAAATGAATGAATTGAATGATTTCCTCCTTTTTTGCTCATCCCTAGTATTTTGAAGTAAATTCTCTTAGGGGGCGTCTATTAAACAGGGGGCGTTTATTAGAGGGGGGTCTAATACAATTTTAACAGCGTTGAGGGGGCGTTCTCAAGAACAGAGGTGTTGGAAGTGGGTGTAGATAGGCTGATTTACGGTATTTAGTAAAGACCCGAAGGGTGGTGCTTAACTTAGCAAATTTTGGAGCGGTGTTGTAATTGAAAGCGACGCAGATCATGTCGATGATAGATGATGTACAAATGACGCTTGGGTGGATTTGCCTTCAAATGTGGCAAGGTACTATTTATTGTTGTTCAATATAGGCTGCGTAGCAAGCGCTTGGAAATAATGGGCTTAAGAAAGAACGGGGCGCGTAAGGGAGACACGCGTGTCTATCCACTCACGCGTGTCCCCCTTACGCGCGCCTGGTCTTTCCTGCGCCCAAATACTTTCTAGCGCCTGCCACGCTGGCTATGTTCCATACGGACTATTCAACAGAGACGATTTTGTCGACAACAATCGACAGCAATGGATTGTATCGTTTTTCTTCAGTTTTCTACTGCCAATGTCATATGCACCAAAAGCTTTGATCAAAACTTTTGTAAAATAAAAAGATTTTGAGTTCATTGACACTGTGTGTGGATCTTCGCTGCTTGGCTGACCGCTGTTACTTCTGTGTTGCAACCATACCTTGCCTGCCAGCAAGCTCTCCATTTATGGCTACCGAAAGGATCCACGAGCGGGGAACGCAGAATGTTAGAAAATCTAGTAAAACATAATGTAAAATAACTAGCAGTGGAACAAAACATTGAAGGACCATTGATTTCCTTTCTAGTCAAGAAGTGTACCGTACAAATCAAAATAGAGAGACATACAAAACGTGTCCTTTACTGACAGTTTACAGAAACACACAAACATAATCATATTGAAGATTGCTCTCTATTCCAATCCTGTAAGCCGCAAGCTGAATAAGTGTAAGTAGGGCTGTAGCTAGGTTTTTTTTATAACGGGTGGGCATTATTGCAAGTGCTTAAGTCACGAGCCTTGTAGGGGGTCTGGGGGTATCCTCCCCGGAAAATTGTCAAATTTGGAGGCTCCGAAACGCTATTTTCAGCACTTGTCATGACATGTCTCCGAAAAATTCGACCTCGAATAAGAAAATGGCAAACAATTGCAAGTCACTATAATCAAAATAACTGAGTCTAAAGAAAACAAATCCATCCACAGACTTGATTTGTCTGGCTCAACAGGTCCGGGGCGGAAGCTGCCCCCTTGCCCCCCGCTAGCTACGGCTCTGGTAAGATCTCTTTTGGTAGAGTCGATAGAATTTTGATTAGTATCACAGGTAAAATTCTGAAAATTTCATGTGTAAGATGTAATTTTGTGAAATTTGATATTCATTTTCTCGGGCTCCCATAAGAATTGTTTTCGGTGTTACTACAAATGATTTATTTTTACATCTTTAGCCCTTGAAAAATGTAAGGAAGAATGCAATATGCTTTAAATTATTCTGGTACAAGATTTTTGTCCACTGAAAATCAAAATTACTCAATGTCCTGGCGGATTCCGTCTTAAAGTTTCAGACATTATTATATACATTATTAAGGTTATGTGATAAGGTTCTAAAAAATCCTGTCGAGCGGTTTAAGAGACGTACAGAAAAACGCTAAAAGTCAAAATTTAGAATAAAGTTACACTTAGACAGGTTCCAATGTAACGTGAAATGCCAAATGAGCCAGTAAGACGACATTAAACAACCGCGTTAATTTGGCTGTTCTTGGTTTTCACATGACCTCACCAAAATTCAAAATAAAAAGGAATTATCGATTCTTCTGAGTTTCTACTTTCATAAGGTAGTAAAGCAGCTAAACACCTTTATTCATAAAAAAACTTCGGTTCGAAAGGGTTCTCTATCGTTTTGCGATAGAGGACGCTTGAATTTCCAAGCTTTTCCGTGACGCGACATTTAACTGCCGGCGGCCGGGAAAGCTCTTCAGTGAGTTACAAGCGTTACAGATTTTACTGATTTTGTGTTTTTTAACATTTCTTGTCTCAGAATAAATATTAATTTAATCTTGATGAGTTTCTCGAGTGATGTATTCACGCTTTTGTAGCAAAACTCAAAGATAGATGTCTGTTGTTTTTCAGCCGCCATATTTATGCCCCTTAGAGGGACACCAACATGGCGTCTCCATACAAAGCTTTGTAAATTTGGGTAAAACTTTTTCCCGAGTATCTTGCATTTAATGCGATGAAATATCGCACAGACCTGATTTTTTTGCTAGACTTTTTGTATACCGGGTATTCATCCTCTTTCATTTTCCAGATTCTGCACTTCTGCATTGAATGGTTTGCGTTTTTTTTTTATTTTTGATGGCGAGACAGTGAAAACAGAGAATTTCCGAGTTAGGGACGGACCATTACAAAAGGGGGGCGGTGGTAAATTTTTGAGCCGCAGGAATTTTTTTTCGTTATCAAATTCCTTGTATGAGTGTTTTTTAGGCCATAGCATGAATATTTTTTAGGGTTAATTGGCGTGCATGAATTTTTTTTCATTTCATTTTCCCTTGCGCGAAAACTTTTTTTGTACTTCGTCCCCCCCATAAGTTTTCTTATGGTCCATCCCTTAGTTAGATCAGTGTCGCGTGGGAAACAATTGCAGCTCTCACATTACGCTTTTGAACCGCATTGATTGTTAAAATCTAATAAGATATTCTGGGTAGCATTGATTGTCGTAATATACAACAAAAATTGAAGGATCCTGTATGTCGTTCACCATAGAGTCGAACAGAATCTCTGGTCGACTTGGGTTTATTGGTGGAGGTTTTTTCTTGCTTGAATCGCCTTTGCAATACTGTCCCACCAAGACACGGGCGAGGTACATGGCACCAATGGTATTTGAAGTATAGCACCTTGAATATGAGGCATCTCTGGCAAAGTAGACTCCAGTGCCAAAAATAGCTCCTATAAAAGTGTTCATGACGTAATTAATGAGTTAATAGAGTGATTCATGTGCTCTGCAGCACTAAAAGCTCTCCTAAAAAGACTCGCATTCAGCTGTATTGTAAAGGCTAAAATAAAAGTAGTTTCTTAGATTTTAAGGGTTGAGAGAAAAGGTTTTCCGAGTGTTGGCTAGGAAATTATCATTGAGTTCATATGGACTGTATGATGAGCTTGGTCTCCTTTGCGTCTATTTCATATTATTGCCACATACGTATACGTCTATCATCGATTATTGCTTCATATCTAGCAATTACAATCCCTGTTGTAAGTGTCGTGATTATTCATAGCACTGACGAGCAAGACTACAACCGAGGTGGAGTTTCTCAGGCCACTAAAAAACAAATAAATGGACTAATTTTAAGCTTGGCATTCATGAGTCACCAGAACACGTATTCTGCTCCAGTGTTTAGATAGCCAGTAGCTACAATTTGGTGTCTTCAGTGTTTTTGCTTACGAGATGGATACTGACCCCCAATTGACCAATTGAGCACTTGGTCGGGATTAGTCCTCTCTGATTGTTAATCCTGAACCCATAGAGACAACCGCCGCTGGAGATTACAAGTATACTGTGGTTGAATGCTTTTTTGAAACAAAAGATCCTCTAGTTTTTTTGCAAACGGACCAATAACATTTATAAATCTGAGGGTTGTTTCCTGAGAGGTCAGATAATTTCAAACGGTTTTAAAGTTTTTCGTTGAATACTTGAATTTTATTTGTCCGTTTGCAAAAACCTTGAGAATCTTTTGTTTTCAGAAAACGTTGTGATTGGACAATCTACATTTTTTACGGTAACTATTGCACTTTGTGAAGGTTAAGAATTCTCACCATTTGCTGAGCCTGATAAACTTCTGTCAAATCCTTGAGTGTTAATTTTTGTTACGTTATCTGGATTTGTGCCGTGAAACAGCTGGCGTTCGTTATCTCCTCCATTGTCTTTCTTCATTTTTTGCTTTCGCAGTTGATAAGACTGGTAAAGAAAGGGATTTTGAATTCTTGCGATGCTGACAATATTCTGGGACGGAAGTGTCTGTCTTACCCTCTGTGCGACCTCTTGGTACTCAGCACAAGTGCTTGCTAGGTTCACCGTATGAACAGCAACTTCATTTCCCCTTTCGTCAAGAGGCATTGGAGCCCAGCCGCTGGGAGACAAGTTATCTGAAAAAAAAGGGTCCATATCAATAATTTATGTGTGGGTGCCGTGGAAACTTGCATTGTGTATAGATTATACTTAGTACAACTGGATTTACTTTGGTCGGAGTGTGTCTTCTTTCTTACGATTGAAAATGAGGACCGATTGACTTAATCAGAGTCATCAGCAATTCAGATATGTGACATTTCTGCATGTTGTTCTGTTACGTTATTTTAGCACGCGTCTAAGTTTTTTTTTGCTATCTTTCATTTCTATATAGTTGATGCTTCTCTTCTGTTATCTTAATCTTTTATTTTTTAATCTTAGAACCATAGTTGAACCTGGTCGATCCATGGTCCTCTCTCCAGGTTAGGATGAAAATGGAGAGTGTGAATTCCCTTTGCGCAAAATGTTAAAAAAGGTCATTATTTCCCAATTTAATTACTCTAGGCGGTTAATAATAAAAAGAGAGCCTCTTGATGGAGAGATGGCAAACGAGCCACATGCCTCTCCACTTCAGAAGTAGGAGATTATCAAAGTAGTAATTACAGTAACGACATGAAATATGTTTGTCTCCGTTTTTTCCCCACAGTGCAGGTTAACTGAACCCTCGGTGTATTTATCACCAGGGCCGAGTTGTTCAAAGCTGGGTTAAGATAACCCAGGGTTAGTGCGAGATTTGAATTCAGATTTGAAAGCTTAAAAAGCAGTTCAGTCTTAATTCTTTTGGTCTACAGGTTAATGATTGGAAGCTCTAAAAATAACGAAGAGATCATCCGAGAAAATGCTTTTGAACACAAGAAAAAGAAACCCGGGTTAAATTTAACCCCAGGTTAGGGCTAATCAGCCTTCGAACAACCGGGCCCAGACCATTACGTAGTCATGTCTGACACTGGAGATCCCTATTTTTGTAATAATTACCTCCATTCAATTGCAAGTGGTCTTCGACAGGGCAATATCCTCCTGTGCTTTGAAGACGAGACCAACCTTGGTTCGAGAACAGCATCAGTTTAGAATCCACTCTTCTTCCCCTAGAAGTTTGACCATGAAGGAGGTTACCTAGTTTGTCGTATGGTTGTGAAACCACTGGAATATTACAACAAACTTCTTCGCAATCTTCTTCATAATCATAGTAACCATCCTCTAGAACATCGTCGACGTCATATTCATCAGAACTAACGTTATAATCTTCTTCATAATCATAGTCATAATCATTTTCATCGTCATCATCCCAATTTCTCACATTGTCGGCACAATCATTATCTTGCCAATCACCGCCACACTCTACTTCATAATCACTGCCATAACCTTCATTATAATCTTCTTCTTTAGAGTTTTCGTCGCTTTCCTGATATTTCTGTTCCCGATACTTCCTTTGCAATGCTATAAAAAAACACTTTGCTTCAATAAACACTAGCTCTATATAATAATAATAATAATAATAATAATAATAATAATATCAATAATAATAATGGAAGCTTTATTTGTGTTTTTGAATGTACAATTGTAAATCTCGCTACGTATAAGCAATTTACAAATGCTGCTTGAGATTGAATTATTCGAAAAAAGAAAGACGAAGAAGAAAAGAAAATCAAAATTGCATAAGTCTGGGCTATTCCAATTCCTATTTCTACACCAAAAGATGTAATATGTTGCGCTAATGGCTATGTTCATCATTTAATTTCTTGATTATATAAAGTTGCTGCTTTTTGTCAATGCCAATGTCATTCATCATGTCTAAGAACGTGGAGCATTCGTCGGAGAAAACAGTGATAATAACAATAATTATAATAACAACGTCATTTTCGTTGCAATATATTTAGCTTAACAGTCAGCAAATTGGGGACACTTTCCTAAGTACTGGCACCCATCACTGGCATGATTTTTTAAATTAATGACCTTACCTAAAACCTAAAACTATATACAAATGTACACAACTCAGAATTTACACAGGTCCCAGCAGTCACTATTATTATCTATATGGCTCGAAAATGAAGCATTTACCCGGCCTCGAGCCAGCAAAAAAAAGTGCACAGTGCAGTCATTTGATCTGTGAGGCAGTACCAAGCACTCCCAGTGTGCCTGCATTTAAACTTCCTTGAAGTCCAGCATCCGGTACGGAAGATAGACATCTTCTCTTTTCACACGTCACACGTACTGTCACATTTGTGTCAATTTCAACGGACTGACTGAATTAACAAACAAAGCAATACAAAAACAAAACATTGTACCGATGAACATGTTCAGAAACTCCTCAGGATTCTAAGATTTTATTCTGCTCGGAAGCTAAAAAATTGCAGATAATGTAAAGGAAAAGAATTTTTAAGTGCAGACGTCGAAAATACCGTGAATTTGGCTATTTAACATATTTAAGAATTAAATTTTTTTCTTCTTTTGGTACAAGTGCTTCATTAATAGCTAAAATGTCATCATCTGAAACTGTCGCGAAACGACCCACCAAATTGATTTGGGTTCCAAAATGGTGAACAGCCAAGTATACTTCGAGTTACGGGAGCCAATCACTTAATTGATTCACTGATTTGGTAAATGCTAAACACAATATACATGTATATACTTAGTTAATCATTTCGCGTCTTTCAGTGGCTAAAGACAAAGTTCACAAAAGAAGAATGATATTCTTGTTGCAAAATCCTATAGATATGAAACAAATGGTACCATGTAAAATTTCTGCCAAAGGGGCGTTTCAATTGAATTATCGTAACTCCACAGAATTTGTTCAGGAGATTTACAATTCAAGTTAAAGTGACAAATAATATATATGCCATAACATGATCTCGGAGTAACAGATTTGAAATATTAAGAAGTGTAAAAGCTGCCGAAGAAAATTAAAGAGAGCAAAATTCTGAAAATGTCGGCTAAGTTACCGCCTTCTCCAATCATCACTGCCTTGGATAGAGACTCAAGACTGGATTACGTCTCGAATCTGCTTAAGGTAATGGAAAGAAACTTGTAGGGGAGAGAAATCTTGAAAATATGTTCTATGTTCATTATTTACAAACCTGAATGAGGTTTCCCTTTGCCCATCTGTGGATCTCGGTATGAGTTGTCTGAGACGAACCCAGTTGCCACAGGACTCTTGAGGGATGGATCGTCTATTTGTGAAAATTCCTGTAACCGTTTTTTGGCCTTCACAAGATCACACTGAACGCCATCACTACAAAGAGTCTTCTTAATGAGGACTCTCGGTGAACGAGGGAATTCCTCCTGGAGCTTTCTGATCTTATCCTCTAATTCTTGAGAATTCATGCTGGCATTAGAGGAGGCCTCAGTTACTGTTCTTTCAATGGAGTGCTGTTCATCTTCTCCGCTGTTTTGTGTCTTTTTTTGCCTATATACCTCGTTTTGCACTATGGAATAAAAAAAGTTAGCCATCTAGGAGCCCGGAATACGATAAAAATACAAAGATTAAAACACATAACATCCTTCTCAACAACAACACATGCACCTCTTCCCAGAAGACCAACTTCAAGATAATCTGTGCACATTGTCCTTTGGTCGCTACTAGCAAAATATTGTTCGGGCGAGCTGAACTATTCTAACTAAAAATAATGAATAATATCCGAGCTTCTTTACATGGGTTCGTTGGACACAACTCCTGGCAACTTAAATCCAGAGTTCGACCGAGTCGTTATCTTATGTTGTTTTAGATTTTCTTCAGGATAACTTTATACTACCCGTGCTACTTTTTTATTCCTAGATATCGACTAACAAGGAAAGGCGGAATATACTTGTAGAACGTACAGCGGTTTCCAATAACACACTCCCTTGATAGGTTTTTTTCTAGGTTGGTTGGAACCTGAGTTGTCGTGGACGTCAATCAAATGTTTCCATTCGAATTGCAACATTTCCGAATGACGAAGGAGTGCAATTCCGCTAGAGTCCTTTTCATAAGGAAATGAACAGAAACATTAAGGGCGATAAATCTAAAAAATATGGTCTCCAGTACTTACATAGCAACTTTTTTCATTATTTACAAACCTGAATGAGGTTTCCCTTTGTTCATCTGCGGATCTCTGTTTGAGTTCTCTGAGATGAACTCAGTTGCCACAGGACTCTTGAGAGATGGATCGTCCATTTGTGAAAATTCCTGTAGCCGTCTTTTGGCTTTCACAAGATCACACTGAACGTCATCACTACAAAGAGTCTTCTTAATGAGGACTCTCGGCGAACGAGGGAATTCCTCCTTAAGCTTTTTGATCTTCTCCTCTAATTCTTGAGTATTCACGCTGGCATTAGAGGAGGCATCAGATACTGTTCTTTCACTGGAGTGCCGTTCATCTTCTTCGCTGTTTTGTGTCTTTTTTTGCTTATATACCTCGTTTTGCACTATGGAATAAAAAAAGTTAAACATCTAAAAGCCGAATATATCCTTTTCAACAACACCCAAAAAAAAAGTAAAAAAGAAAAAGAAAGAAATGATAGTACAACTCTTCATAGGACTAATGTTAGGTGTAAGCTTGTGGGACCCTTATTGGCGATGTTGCCAAGAACATATAACTATGGTGGCAGATGTATTATTGTATGGGCTCGTGGGTTGTCGGAAGCGGCTCCAGGGAAGTTAAACTCGTCATGCATCTTATGCTGTTGTAAATTTCTTTCGGTATAACTTGATACTTACACTTGAAGCACAATTTATTGCTTGATCTCGAATAACAAAGGAAGGCAAAATATACGCGCCTAGAACCTAACATATATTGCGCTCTCCAATACGAAACATAAGATTCAGTGTGAAAACCTTCTTTCTAGTCCACCACATTTCATTAGGAAGGCTGACCCGTCTCATCACTGGAAATAACTTTCTTACTCCTGAAAAAAAATTCTTCTTCTGTTTTCTGCCTCGATGTCTTATCATAAATTAAAGGGCTCTTGTCTTACCTCGTTTTGTCCTCCAGGCTGGTTTAGGTTTGGTTTTGGGGGGACTAGGGGCATTCCTCTTTAGAGTAGTGGCTAACTCTTCTTTCTGTGTGCGCATTATTTCAGGATGCGACACCTTTTCCGTGTTATCATGAAGATTAACATTTGATTTGGATTTAGGTTTCGGGGAATCTGGGACCATCCTTTTGCCTTTGGATATGACCGCTGGGCTCTGTGTGATTATCTTTGCTGGATCCGATACTTCTCCAACTTTCCGAAGTGATGAGATCGTAGGTTTCACGTCGCCGTTATGAAGATATCTTTGTTTTTCAAATGCCATTTTGCTTGCATAAGGATTCAGGCAAGCTTCATGAACGCTGTGTTTGCCACTGTTAATAGCATTTGACTGGGATTTAAGTTTGGGAGGATCTGGAACCATCATTTTGGGATTCTCGGCTATGATTCCTGGACTCTGCGACATCAGCGATAGTTGTTCAAGTTTGGGGGCTGAGAACATAGGCTTCACGTTGCAGTTATCAAGAGGTCTTTGTTCTGCAAACGTGGTACCGTTGTTCCACCCACAAGGATTCGGAGCAGCAAAAGACTTGAAAGAGGAAGACAAGCCACCTAAAATGTACATAGCAGTATTGTTGTCCCATATCTTGCTTTTGAATGCATGTGCTTTCTGAATCATCTAAAGGGTCCTTTTCAAGGGTTGCTAACTGACAGTGGAAAGCCAGACGAAAAGGGAAAAGGCGTAAAAAAGGAGAATAATAATAATAATAATAAGAAGAAGAAGAAGAAGAAGAAGAAGAAGAAGAGGAAGAAGAAGAAGAGGGAGAAAAGTAAGATAAAAGGGAAGAACAAGAATTAAAAAGAAAAATGTCCGACTTTTCTGTTTCAGCAAAGCTTCCTACCATAACACAATTACTATTGCCTAAAAGTGTCACAGGACTGAACGATCCCAATCACCCTGACTTAATAAAGAACGAGATTTATATGAGCTATGTGAATAAAAAAAGTCTAAAAATCATCATAAAAACTAAAATCAGGGCAAATATAAAGCGAAACCAGAGCGAATAGAAAGAACGCGAGGCCGATTTAGTACTGGAGACAGGGCAGCTTGCTTGGTCAAGTCATATAATAGTGGTCATCTATGCTGTTAAAATATTTATCGTTTGAGATTTACGGTTCCCCTCTTTGGGGTGCTATGCTTACCTTTTACATTTCGATTCTCCAAACCATTTTCAGAAAGATCTTCTGCCTTGTCTGTGCTGACACACCCTTCCTGTGACGGATCATGTAATCCTTTTGTAGTGCCTGCTGAGGTACTCCTGAGAGATGGATTATTAATTTGCTTGTTAAATTCTTGCAACCGCTGTTTGCATTTCTCAAGGTCTTCATTAATGTCATCGCTACAAAGAGTCTTTTTGATAAGGATCCCTGGCAAAGAACTGAATTGTTCTTTGAGTATCCTTACTTTTTCTTCTAATTCCATTGCCGTCTCTAGCCGATGAAAAACCTTCAGTTGTGAACACAGCAGGGTCCACTTAGATTGTTCATCCAAGCTATTTTATTGCTCTTACTCAACACTGTTTGCCTGCAAAAAATGGTGAGAATAATTTATTTAAGTTTTGAACAATAGCGTCCCGGCCAACCTTTACTAGTTTTTACTGGTCTACTTAAAAATCGGTTAACCATTATCATCAATCTTTTAAACTATTTCTCCGTTTCTGATTGGCCTTCGCTAATTTTGTTATTTTGTTATAACTGGATGTCGCGCCCCGGCCGCGAGATGGGCGTTCGCGTGTCTGCTTTGCTTTTTCACAAAGATTCTTTTAAATTAACTCTTGACATCTCTATGTGTAAAACAGGTAAAATAATATTAGAAGTGGCATACGTTACTGATTAAGGACAGTTTGCTTTGTCCCTGGGGAAAGAAAGCCCTTACATTTTCTCTAAATTCATCCTGAGATGATCCTAGGATCTTTATTTGTTTTAAATATACAAAAATAGAGGTTTATTTAATATTTAACTCTTTGAAACAAAAGAAGTTAACTTTTAACTTTTTTGTTTACCGTAACCGAAAAAAATTAACCGATAACCGTAAAAGAGCCAAAATTTTAGCCGATAACCGTAAAATACGGAAGCCCAAGGGAGTCACCGATCTATTTCGTTTTTATTTTTCACTTTTCCATTTTTTTTTTTTAATTTTTTGATTTTCACTTCGCCATTTTCCCTTGCGGTTGAGATTTCAGTTTTTACTTTTCACTTTTCTATTTTTCATGCGTTGACAAGCCTGACTCCTGCCTTTGACGAATGTGTCAGTTAAGCCTTTCTCATAGTTAAGCTGTTACTAGTATATCCTTTAGAGACTGTCCTCATTTGTATGATATAATTGGAGGTTCTTTGTAGATCTGTCTTAGAAAAGGTTGGTTCTCTATCATTTGCCAGTGTTTCATAAGAATGTGTGTAAGGTTAGGAACTGATGGTTGATATTGTGTGACAAAGGACAAAATGATTTTCCTCTTGAACGTTTTAGTGCCTCTTTCCTGTTTTCAAAGTGTATTTCAGAGAGGTTTAGATATATTAAATCCTGTGGATCCCTTTCTAGTTAAGATGCTTTTAAAATTCTTCTTGTATTTTTTGAACATTTTTTTTTGAGGAATTTGTTAGTAGCCGGAGAGTCTCATCTTTCATCAAGCCTTTCTTTTCATGACCTCTAATTGGTGGCAAGATGAGAAGTATGTATATTGAAATGCTTAAGTCAGTTGGCTTAAAATGTGTCCCTAAGAACTGACGTACTTTTAAACCTTTCCCCTTTGTACACTAATTGTATCCAGAATTTCAGATTTTGTGTTTACAAGTGAGCGTCCTCATTATTCACTGGCATTGTTTTCAAGTTTCATATACACGTGCACATTTAGCAAAAAGATAGAATTTGTATCAAAAAGAACCCTCGGTTATATCTTCGGAATATGCTAATTACCGGGTAAAGAGATTAGTGATACATTATAACATCAGAGCAATTCTTTGTAAGAGTTTCTGCTATGTTATAACCCGAGAAAAATAATGAAGTATTGCATCCTACACGATGAGCAGTGACGTTCACCGTTTCGGCTCTCACTGCTATCTGTGACGACAAGCCAATTATTAGAATATTCCGAATATTTCTTCGGAAAGTAATCGAGAGTTCTTTTTGATGCAAATTTATATCTTTTGCTAGTTGTGCACGTGCATATGAAACTTGAAAACAATGCCAGTGAATAATGAGGACCCTCACTTATAAACACAAAATCTGAGGGAAAAATTGGTTATATTTGAGGCCCTATTTAAAAGCCTTCCCTGTTTTCAATGTTCTTGAAACTTGCAGGGAATATTTATTGACAATTGATCTCGAGATTGTCGAATTTATAAAAAAATTTATCGAGCCGTTTTTTGAAAAATGCAAAATTTGTAGGCATGGACCAAATTACGTCCAAAACCTGTATCAAAAGCAGCTGAATGCAAGTTAATAAAATTCTTCTTACTCGCGATCGCTGAGAGCAATTCGCCTCTTTTTTTGTATGCAATTTTCAATGGAATCAAACCACTATGGGATGAAGCTGCGTTCCCAAAGCTTACCATTTTCTTAAAATATTAGCGAATTGTGAGGATAGCATGCTATTTGATTGTTTTTATGATTGTTAAAACTGCATTTCAAAATATTTCGAAAACGCTCTCATAGAATTTGTTGAAACTTTGCCATAATGGAGGCAATGATGGCAGGTACATCCTCGATTAAGCGATTTCTTCGAAAACCTCCTGGTACAGAGAAACACAAAGATAAATAAAAAGCGTAATGGCGTCATTACGTTGCCATGGCGACTCTGATTGCAATAAAACCCAGATCATAAGAAATTTTCATCATTATATAATACAGTTGTGGTAACCTTTTTCCGATATCTTTCCTCATGCCGACGTAGTTAATGCTCAAACGTGGGAGGTATCCTCCCAAAAAAATCCAGTCGAGCCACCTTAACCTGTAGCGGGCTGCATTTTTGACGTCATTTCCTCGTTAAACACAAAATTCTTCCAAATTTGGTCATCAGTAACTGGTTATGGTGAATTATATCATATATGAGTACTGACTCCTTCTTCCTGTGGAATGTTGGTAAATAGACTTGCCACGTCTGATTGAGACAATCATGATAGCTTGTTCTTTTTTTTTTTTAACTTTCGTGACACTCCGCCGGATGGACACCCTGACCCTTGATCCACCATACTGATCCTCCAGCAAAGCATGATGGTCTACCCTGTCAGTTTTGGTTTTACCTTTTTTATTTGGTTTGATTTTTCTTTTTATGCTTTATGTTTATGATTTGGTTTTGGTTTTGGTTTGTATTATTTTTGCTAGTATTATTTTTTTAAAGTCAAACAAGATATTTGATTTCAAGTCAGGGGATTCTACATTTTACAAAGCAATTGAAAAACGTGGAGATGTTTCGAGTATGCAACTAATTTGTATGACTAAACAAAGAAAACAAATATTGCCACAAAAAACAGAAAGGTACAAGACTAAAATAAACAAATAAATCAAGTAAAAAGTATATACATATAGTAAAATAAAATCACACAAAAAGTCATATAAGATATTTGATTTCAAGTCATGGGAATCTACGTTTTACGCTTCTTATATATTGTTAATGAGGTAGATTTTGTGAGGGGCACCCAAAGGCAATTTTCGGAAAATATCTGTTCGAAGGCCGATTTGACATCTAGAATTTTCGGAACATTTGTTGTAAAATTTCTTGCTTGCCTGTCTTTCCTAGGATTTTCCAACATCTACAAAATGGTATTATTGCCCATTTTTAACGGATTTTTACCCTAAAAAAGGCCACCTAGAATTTTTGGGAGCCTTTTCCTGGCTGAAATTTTCGAAAAGGTAAGTTTTGATCCCTATAATTTTCGGATCTCTAGACTTTCAGCTAGGAAATCCGAACAGATTAAAAGTTTTTAGGGGATAAAAATATGCCTATATCAACCATTCAAATACTAAAATACGTTTAACAATGCTATGTTAAATGGTTTTGAACTATATCCTCGTTGGGTGCCCCTGTTTTGTGAGAGGTTATTTTTGAAGCGAGACCATTTCCGTACAAAGACGTTTTGAGTCGTTATTGTGGAATGCAATATGCTTTTCAATTTCTATCGAGTTCATAAGTACCTGTATATACACCTGCAGCTTAGGAAGCTTGTTCCCAAGTCTGCAGGTGTATATGTTATGTCTAGTATAAGGAGTAGGTGATGAAAGAGAAGGTCTTTTACGTCGTCAATGAGACCGAAACAGAAAGACAAGGAGGGAGAGACTTTTTCTAAATCTTTGAAATTTTGAGAGATCCACTCGAACATGCTCTTCCAGAAGTCCTGAGTGTATTTGCAAGTCCAGAATAGATGAACGAGGGTTTCTTTTTGTTCCTCCCAAAAGGAGCAGGAATCTGTTTGTTTGATACCTATTTTGTAAAGAAAGTCATTTGAGGCTATTTTTCTGTGAAAGAATTTAAATTGGAACGCTCTAAGCTTTGACTCTCTTGTACAGAGAGATGATAGGCAGTACGTATTTTCCCAGTTTACTGTTATACTAAGATTACAATGTATGTC